TTTGTTGTATTAAATTAATATTAAATTTAATTTGCCCTGCTATACTTTCATATATATAACCACATATAACAGATGCTTGCAACATGCGCGCACACACACACACTACTGATTGTAATGAACAGTTGCTTGTTGTGTGTAGCGGAGGAGATCGACAGACAGACAGAACACATCATTTAGTTTGGTTTCTCTGTCAATGAGAGAGACGCATTATTGTGATGATAATTTTGCTTTAACATAGCTATAAAGTGTAACATAATGATCATATCATCGATTGGCAATTTCACGGGGTGATGATCGGACTGTGGTTAAGATCGTGAAACCCTAGAAACTTGTTACATTAACCATTATCTGTTGTGTAAAATCTTCATCTTAAAAGTAATTAGTAACTAAACCTGTCAAACACATGTAGTAGAGTGGAGGTAAAAAGTAGCATAAAGTGAAATAGTCAAGTAAAGTACAAGCAGCTCAAAATTACAGTACTTGATTGAATGTACTTAGTTACTGTGTAAGATACTTGATCCTGACCCAATGTCTTCAGTGGAGATGGTCTCATCTGACTCGGAAATACTGTATATGCCTTTTGCAAACAATGACTTGTGCAATGATAAAAAAAAAAAGTTTAGGCTTATTGTGGCCCGGTGCAGCGGAAAAAAATCACCTACATGAAAATGTTAGGTACGCTAGGCGTCTGTAACCAACCAAAACATGGTAGGTGTAAGTTAACAATACTGTGTGTGCGCTTTTACAACAAGAGATCATCTGGAGGAAACCATTTCCTGTGTCTCCAAGAAGAGCACTTTTGCTCTACAGGAGCCAAGTTCCAGTAAAACTAGCATCTAGCACCTAGCATCTAGTGTGCTTCATCACTGAGCACTATCACTCTGAAGATTCGCCACAGAAAGAAAGCTGTTTGCAGAGACAATGACAGACAGACTTTGTAGACAGCTGTTCAGTTTATGGACGTAGATTTCAACCCTTCACTTAATAAGCAGATGCTTGCACCTGTTCAGACCAGGCAAGATGGTTAGACCTGTCTTCCTACACTTGTGTGTGCTTTATACACACACACACACACGGGACACAAGCAACACAGCTGCAGTCGTTAGCAGAAGGATAAACTATTAACAACATTCAACATAGCCACTCATCACCTGCTCACAACCAACCACTGCAACACATTTAGATCCTACAACAGCCTGTTACCTGTCCAGAAGTTCTCTCCATCTCTGAAACCCCTCTCCAATATTGACACACATCCATCTGAAGCGACATGCACACACATCTGTATTTGTAGAACAGCTAATAGGAACACTCTCTCTCTCTGAAAAGACCTGTGAATGGCCAAAGTCTCTTGTCACGGGCAAGAATTTCTAAAGTCTGAAAACAGAACCAAGAGAAAGAGCAGACATCTAATTTGCTCCCAGACCACTTAAATTAGAATATGCTGAAAGGTGATTATGGAATTTTTGCATTACCTGTGTACAACACTTTGGTACATGAGACAAACTCTGAAAACTATGTCTACACTAGAAATGCAATAAACCATGTCATCATCTGTTCTTCATTAATACTTCAATAATTTAGTTCATTCAGAGACACTTATGTCAAGGAACTGGTCAAGGTTTAACTAGTGTAATTAACAAGAGTAAGGATGTGCATGATTAGTTAACTATACGATTAAACGCACTAGAAATAGAGTCGGTTAAACTAATTGCTAATATTTTATTAATGTTCAACGCTGTCTGCTGGGGTAGACCCCCCACTCTCCGCACTAATGCCTGGATTTTGGAAACGAGTAGGTGGAAGGTGGGACAAATAGCATTGAGTAAAACCAGCACAGAATGGCAGAATTTTGATATAATAAATTGAAAATAAGGTTGTATGTTGGCTGTGTCAGATTAAACTGGTATAACTAGGACGCAGCTCATCATGCCAATTTGACTGAGTGTTTTCTGACTTTTAGACAAGTCAACTAGTCTAAATTGTAATTTCTGTTTTATCAACTAGGAAAGTAACCATTAGGAACAATGTATTTTATCCAGTCTGAACTACAGGAGGTGGGTCGTATCATACCCCTGCCTGTCAGCATGCACGTCAGATCAGATTTATGAGCTATACAGGACAAGTTTACCCTGTTTTTTTTTTTTGTAAATGTATTGTAGCACTGCACAGCATACACACTATAGCTCCACTGTAAACAGTGTAGACTACTTAATCTCAAACACCTGATTTTTTATGGGCTTCTTGGTCCAAATGCTGAAGATCATGGTTCCATAATATTAAGTTTATGAGCTTAAATTATTGATATAATAGAGAGAATGCCATCCCCAACAGTGAAATGACGCGAGAAAGAAAATGTCTCATTCTGTTGGGTTTGTTTGGACCTAAAGAAACACTCCCTCACAAACTATCCTTGATATGTGCTAACAGAGGTGTGCAGAGAGCAGCCAAGTTTAATTTAGGCTTGTAATCAAGTAACAGAATGAATTAACAATAACTAGTGACAGCGGATATGAGCTACCACTGACGACGTTTGTCATTTTAACCCCTGAAAGCGACGCTCAGCAGCTAAGATGAGAAGCTACAGCTGAATGTTTTCTTCACTGCTTTGCTAATGATTATTAACGTCATGTCTCAGTGAATCTACATCTTTCCAGGCTACGTATCTAAACTCAGAGTCACTAACTGCTTCGTCCAATTAATATTTCACACTCACATGCACAAATTTTCACTGTCTCTGCTATACCTGTCTTAATCAAATATTTCCTCATTTTTTATATTGTTATTAAACCTTTTCAATGTCTCATCCTAAACATTAACTGACAATATTTCATGTTTAGGAAAATATAATCAATGAAATATTAATATTGTAAGAAGAAAAGAAAGGTGGACATCACCTAACCTTAGTGGATATAACTAATTATCATTTTGTCACCCAGCACTGTCAAATACATCTCTCTTGGATTTGGTTTACTACATTTGATTTTATATGCAGTTTCTGAGATTTCAGCCACATCATGTCAACCTCAAAAGAAAAAGTGTGCAATCATTTTCTATTAGGACTGAACAATTGATTGAAATATTATTGAAAAAAAATGCAATATGGCCAAGTGCAAAATCGAAATAGTAGGAACTACAATTTCTTTGGTAACGGTAAAATGTGTCACAACAAACCGTAAATGAAGTGTTGTGGTGCTACAGACACGCAGTGGCCTGCAAACCATATTCTCCAGATGTAAGAGGACGTGTCAAATCATCATCATTTTTATGTTTGACAGTGAAAGAAAAATGCAAAAGTTATAAATACAACTGTAATGATGATTCATATTGCAATTGCAATATCTGTCATAATAATCACAATATAACTTTTTTGCATATTGTTCAGCCCCAATTTCTATATATCTTTATACTCTTTTAATTGGCTGAACACACTCGACATTCAGATGTGGAGAAGGTCTGATAACACACACCTTGCCATGAAAACTGGCAGGAATACAAGGTGTTGCTTCTTGTTTATTACCCACTATTTGTCTTAACTTGGCACACTGCCACAGTGGGCAACATTATGACATGTCAAGACTAACATTATGGTTTATAATTCTGTCAACTGGACCTAGTACTGCCGAGTGGCATGATGCCAAATACTGAACATTCTGCTGCCACATGCTGTAAAAATCCAGGATTGTCTTTATGAAAGCAAACTATTCAGTAAATCACAGCCTAGCACACTGAGGGACTTCAAACATGACAAGATGGTTCACCTTATTAAGTGCTCTCAATAAAAATATCAGATAATTATTTCCTCATTCAACCATATCTGATCAATATCATAAAACACTGTGCATCCTTACTCCGTCAGGCACAATCTATAACCTCCAATGCTGTAAATGCATGAAAATCTCCAGACACAGTGGTACCTCCTTACATCTGAAAGGAGCCTATAGCACTGCCAGCACCAATGCACATAAATGCTGGGTGTGTATGGGCCGCTGCAGTCACGGCAGCAGCAGCAGTTAGAGGCTATATGCACCAAACCCACAGAACGATTGCTTTTACGGATGGATGCCAACAATCTAATTTCATGACCACAGGTCTCCAATTTTGGATTTCCATTTACATCGAAATTTTCGTTTTAAAAAAAAAATGTTTTTTATGGAATAGCTTACTAACAGACCGGCAGAGGATGCTTGACAGATACAGCTGAGGCTGGTGACACGTAAACCCTGGTAGATTAAGTCAAACGGCCCAACTCAGCCCCGCAAAGATGTTTCATTCTCTTTAAAGGACAGACGGTCCTGCCAAACTGCACTGAAAATCTCACTGTTTATGTGGAGGCTGTGATTAAGCAAATGCACGTTTTAACATATCATTAACACCCTTTTCTTGATCCTTGAGGGGTCCAGTCTCTAAGTCGGCGTGCATATATAAGTTAATCGTGCAGTGGCTTTTTGGGTTTCATCACTGATTAGCAAAACAGCAGTTCTCTGCCATATTCTGGAAATACACTTCAGCCCACATTGGACAGTGGGTCATATTGAAACTGGGGTGGGGACGCACAGCTAGTGGGGACGACAGTATCGTTACGGACCTGGGATGAGGAGCAAAATGACTTTAATACTTTACTACTCCTACAAGCTAATATTAAAATTAATTTAACAGTAGCTAATTTGTCTTATAATGCTGACTACAGCGAGTCCATAAAGACGAACGTACGTTAGGGTGGCGATAACCAGCGTTACAGCGGCACGATAATGGGAGTTGTAGCTTTAACAAGCTTCATCATAGCTATTGTGAACTAAGCACATATGTAGAAAAAGTACTAATCTTAAACCAAAGCAAGGGCATCGCATGGTTTAGATAATAACGTTAAATGGTGTGGTTGGTAAGGCTCAGTGTAATGTTTCTGTATAAGCTTCTTTTCCATAGCACATTAAAATTTGCTAGCCTTAAGCTACTCATTGGTTAGCCCTGGCTAGCAGCGGGCTAACAATTCATCTCACCTGCGAGAGGTTTTGTAAAAGCTCAGGGTCCAAACGCGGAAAATGGGATGTCAGTCTCAAAGGTGTTGTTTCCTCTTCGGATTAAAATCCGCAGAAACAGCTCGTCACATTCATTATTATCCATACGAGAGTCATTGAGCGGTGCCAGTAAACTGTACGACTGTACGGGTCTTTCTCTGGTGGTTAGCTTCCCCAGCGCCAGGCTAATAATAAATGGTTGGCTAGCTGGCCAGGCACCGATACGTCTGACGTTATTTTACTACAGGCAGCTAGCTTAACTAACTATTAGCTAGAGGTCGAAGCTGCTTGGTTCTGTAACTTCTTTCAAGTGGTGAGTGTCCGAATGCAGGCCGCTCCGCCTGCACGGAAGTTAAGAAGAAAACGACGAGAATCTACTCCCAAGAGAATTATGTGCTCTCCTCACACATCCATAATAATGGTGGCCTACACATCACCAGAGGCCGACATATTTGCCTGTACTACAAAACTCTGATGCCAGGGTCCAACAGTAGAATTGTCGCAAATGTAAAAAGCTCTGATTGGACGACAAGGTTGTCAATCAGGCCATAAGCGAATTGTTTTTGCTTCTTGCGCGCGCGCGCGCGCGCGCGCACGCGCACACACACACACACACACACAGTGAAAGTCATGATTGCACTAAATAGTGATTGCAATAGATGATAAAGCCATGGTAATATATTTTAATATATTTTATTGTCGCTTAGCATGGTTGGCACATAAGCTGTCTCTGACATGAGGTTTTAATCCTCTCATGTGACACACTGACACAGTAACGTATGTTTGTGTGTGTGTGTGTGTGTGTTTGTGTGTGTGTGTGTGTGTGTGTGTGTGTGTGTTTATTTGGGGACCAAGGCACAGTATAGTTAACACACACACACACACAATGGGGAGATTAAAATGACAGCAGGGGCTATGAGGATAAGCCCACACAACCAAGCTCCTCAGCAGCACACCCACACACAAACACACACACACACACACACACACACACACACACACTAAAACACACACACACACACACACACACATCCAGAATCCAGAATTCCATGTATGATTTTCTGGTGGCAGGATTTTAGATTTGTTATTATTTTGGAGATTTTGTTAGTGTGTGTGTGTGTGTGTGTGTGTGTGTGTGTGTGTGTGTGTGTGTGTGTGTGTGTGTGTGTGTGTGTGTGTGTGTGTGTTTACACATTTTTGTAACCTCTTTGGAACCTTTGCTGATATAAACACCGACCTTGTCGGGACCAGTAGTTCATAATCAGGTCCTGGCAGTCAATGCAATGTCCATGAATGTCTGTGTGTGTGTGTACTGAAGCCCCTTGGCAATTGGCATGTGAGTCCGTGAAAGACCCTGAACTAAAGGGACAATTATGGCATTGAAAATACAAAGGATGATTTTGTGATGACCCATTTTCTTTAGGGGGGGTCAAACAAAGAAAACTGATTTTCAACATGAGGTGGAGAGGCCTGCATTTCTTTAAGTTTCAATACACTATTCACCTATCCAAATAGAGTTATTGGTCACTGTAATTGTTCCTGCTGTTTTTACCTGTAGTTCTCTGGGCTCTTCTATTTCACTTGTGAGTGAATTCTTATTCTCCTTATTATTTACATAAGTGGAGGATCTATGGCTAGGAAATATGTGTAAACATAGCTTTGGTTTGTTATGTTCCCCCTCAATAGCTCTACAGTGTGGAAGCCAAGAAAGGCCATACTAACGATAAGGAGATAGGCTACTATCAGGAGAAAATGATTTCTTGTTACCCCGAGATAATGTTGGAAAGATATATTTACAGATTCAAATTCCCCGGTTCCACAAACGAAGCTACAACCTAGTTTTTATCAAAACGAGCTGGAGGAGTAACACTGATCTCTATGAGCAGCCAGCTGTGAGACAGTGCTCAGGGACCTTCTACAAAATGCAACATCAAAAACAGATATATTAGTTAATATTCAATAACTTCACTCTTATGCACTGTAGTGTCACAAAAATCATGTCACACATCAATGGTCTCCTGTTGGTTATATTACAATACTTAATGTGGAGTAACATGCTTTTTCCTAATTATAATAATTATAATAATACTAAAAAACAGATATTTAAAGGAGAGGAAGACCATGAGAGAGAAGAAGAGAGGTGCAGGGACAGAACCATGGATGTATTAACAGAATGTTTTCAAAAGTGAAATATGGAATCAAGAACAGAAAATACAATTTCATTTAATATTTCCAATGATTTTTAATTGTTTACATTTTTCCACAACAAATCAAAGCAAAATTGCAAATCAAGTCAGAAAACAAATAACACAATAATACTTATTTACAGTGGAAAATTATTTTCAGCCATCAGCCCCTTCAGTTTACAGAGATGATAAATATTTGTTATCTCTTACATTTGGTTTTAAAATTTATTTCATGACAAAACTTTAGCTCCCTCCTCAACATTGGTTCCGCTGTGGCCAGAAGGTCTGAATTATCTATCACAATAAAACACAATAAAATCAACAACACCTGTACAATGTGATGCAATCCAATACCATAGACATACAATAAATACTACCGTTCTGACGCCTATAATGTCCAATTAACTAAAGACTTAGTCACAATAATTTGTGTGGCCAGTATTTTTACTGAATTTGTATTATAGTAAGTTGTGTCTGCTGTATATTCTGTTTCGCTTGGACTCCAAACACATTTCCTACTACAATTGAAGGTCATGTTGGTCTGCCACAGTCTGGTACTCTGTGCATGTGCATCTCCCGATCCACACTCCATTCCAGTTGGAGGCAGTAAGGCACCACAACGTGTTTAGTCAACTGCTACCAAAATCAAGAAGTAGGAGTAGAAGCATGCTTATTAGGTAAAAAAAACACATCCCCCCAAGCCTCTGTGCTATTTCTAGCCAGGAGTTCAACACCTGTTGGCTCTTCAAGAAGATCCACAAATGTTAATAACGCCGGATCTCTTTGCACAAACTCTCCTCAAAACAAAAATCTGTTTTATTATCAGGAGCAAGCACAATTCAACAACGAATTTTGGGCTGCACTCAGAAGTCGGCATATGGGTCCACGTGGACTCTGGCGGACATGGGCAGATGACGACAGTTAGGTCATGCGCATCAAAGCGGACCCTCTCAGGAATACAGACACAGAAAATATGAATTGGCCTTTAAACATCAAGACGTCGAACCGAGGCACTTCTTGAAAAGCATAGATGTAATGTCACACACACAAACACACATTTCAGCTATTTTAAAATATCATTATGTAATCATAATCACTGTACAAATCTTATCATTAAGCTATTAAGACGGTACAAGCTCCTTGTTTACAGAACTCACTAGAAGCCATGTTGTGCTCTCAGCATGCAGGCATCACAACAATACATCTTTATTCATCATCTCTTGCTGCTGCATTCCAGTGCTTCTTGAATTACAAGAGTAAAAAAAAGCAGCTTTAGTTGTTAGGTACAATAATATCAAATCTTTTTTTGTTGACTTTTACTTGACTAAAACAAGGACTACAAAATGACTTTTAAATGATCCAAATCAATATGATTTTTTTTTTATTGGAAAAGCACCTGCACCCGAAAGTCTTACTACATTCTGATTCTCTGTCATTTATTACTGAGGTCACTTGCTGTGGAATCAGCTTCTCCTCCTCCTCGTTTTGGTCCTCCTAATGGTGCAGTCAGACAACAGTCCACTTCCCTTTCATGTCAATGTGAAATGGGGTGGAGACTTGTTGGCTTCTGGTTTAAAATTGTCCAGCCTGCAGCAATCAATCTGGTTGAACTTTGGCCTGTAATATTGAACCTGAGAGATGGGTGGGACTGACCTTTCATTCTTACACTGGGAAAAGTGAATGTGTCTCTGTTTCACACTGACATGAGAGGGAAACAATTTTTGGCCCAAATGCACCATGACAGAGCTTTGATTAATAAAATATCCACAGATTGTGATGTTATGTCAAACCAGCAAAAGAAGAAACAACTGACAGACACTCACTTTGGATACTTACTGGAAATGACGGTTGATGCTTTTACCTCACGTTTTGAGCGCAAGGTTGACGCAATTGACACAGATTTCACGGCACACACGTCTCTTTTCATGCAATAATAAAAATCAAGTCATGAAAGTCATGAAATAGCCGCCTAAAATAACTTTTGTTAGGTGATGCAAAGATGTTGTACAACACCAAGATAACCAACTGCTTGTGTGAAGGTGGGTGAAGTGAACAATCTTGTCATTTCTACAAATTTGTCACTCAACACGGTGGTTCTTCAATTGTGTCACCAAACTGGGCGGGCAGCTGAATCCTGACACAGGTACCTAAAGGATTTTACTGGCAGACTGCTTGTTCAATGCCTTTCAATCATTTCATCTGACGAAGACCTCTGTGTGGTTGTGCTACTACTAGCTAGCAAGCTAACATTAATTCCATCCATCCAACATCAGACTGATGAACTTTCTACTTTAAATCCATGTTAAAGCCAAGGCACCTCTTATTTTATTTTGACTAATTATTGCAGCAGAGGCTGGGAACATTTGCATGTAAATATCAACTGACCCTGTGCTGAATTTGACACTGACACATTCAAAAATGAAAAGACTGAATCAGTCAGAGCTCATCTTTGGGCACGGAAGAGTTTTCAAATTTCTAATGTGTGTTTCTAATGTGTCAAGGTGTTGGTAGGTGGATTTTAAAAATTCTGGACAAAGCCAGGATTGCAGTTTTCCCCTGCTTTCAGTTTTTATGCTAAACTAAGCTAAGCCAAGCTAATTGGCTACATACAAATTAACACAGAGACATGAGAGTGGTATCAATCTTCTATCAATCATCTAAATCTCAACCAGGTAATAAATAGTATTTCTAACTATAATGCCCACTGGGTGATTATTTGTAATGCTCCCTGAAGGTTGTTTAGGTAGCTTGTTGCTTTGCTAGTGCTCTATATTCAGCAAGTAGCTTTATGAAGTGTAGAAACTACCAAGGGAAGTTATCAGATATACTGTACATTGACATATATATATATATATATATACATATATATATATATGTACTGTATATATATATGGTATGTCAGATATGGAAGCACAGAGTGGGTGTAGTTGCTCATTACATTTAGGCCTGCTATCTTTACATCACAACTTAAGCATTACTTCTATTTACATTTGTAATCACTTGTTACTTGCTCACTTGGGGTAACAAATGATGTTTCTGTAACTGGTAGTAATTAACCTTGAATTGTGTTGCTATGTTAAAATAACTTCAAATTGTGGTCATAACAGTAGTATGTAGTATGCGTACACTTGCTCTTTTGGCTGGCATTTTGCTGTTTACGATGATGGATTACTCAGCAAAAGTTTCAAGCACATTCCCTGATCTACAAAGTTGAGTTATGCTTTGAAAAATGGCTGAAAATACTCTAAAGCTACTGTATGTAGTTAAAAGGAAATAGGATAAAACATGCAGTAAAACACTGATATGGTCCTTGAAATTTTATGTTGGTTTGCTCGGGTCAAAGGTTTGGGGACTGGAACTTTTCCCAGTATGCAGTGCACTAGTCCATCAAGCATATATTTTTTAAATCTTATTTATGGTGTTAGTGGAGAAGCTCCCATAAACAGGGAATCAACATGTAAACTCGCTAACCACTGAGCCACCTTTACATGACGGAGACTAGTGAAAAGACTGTTTTCTAAAGGAGAGGCCTGACCTCAGGGTTAGAAATGTAACTTGTATTCTGTATTCATAAACTACTGAACAGAAATTACAAAAAAATGTAATATAAATTGATCATTTCACTTGAATAATCTATAATCTTAAACACTGTGCCCGTTTGGTGTGTATCCATTAGCTGCGTGCCCATTGGCTTGGCTCTTATCAGTTCCACTAGCTGATTGGTTTAGAGGAGCATTCTCTTTGTCGTGGCTGGCAGCCAGCCTATCACGTGCTGCCTTTGCCCTGATCAGGTTTCTGCGGTGATAGAACAGATAGCCCGGCAACAGGAAGCCAGCCAGGGAGAAGATGAGAAGGCCCAAATTGATCTGTTGTAAGGAGAAACATGTCAGTGCATGTTGCTGTATGTATTTACATACTCTTGACCTCACTTTGATTGATTGTGTGTGTGTTTTCTACCCAGTAAGGATCTCCACGGAAGTGTCCCAACATTAGTATGAAGAGTGGCTGTTGGAGCAAGGCGAAAGCAGCACTGATCATTGACTGCATGCCTGTTAGCGTCCCAAAGTGGTTGGCTGGATATCTAGAGAGAAAGACAAAGAATGTCAAAGAATTTTTCCAGTCACTGTCAAATATAAATATATTATATGAACAACACACGAGACTTAAACTGCATATGTTAATGACGGATACATCTAATTCGGACCAAACCCAAATGTGTGCTGCACAGTGTGTGGAAACAGCATGATGTCATCACTGGCTGGTAGTCCAAGCAAGATTCTTTGCTTAGGTGCAGTCACTCTTTACGCCCCAACCATGTCTTGCTTGTTAAAGCTCCATATAGTCTAAAGGTAGATGTCCATGTGTTGTTTGATTATAAAGCAGGTCTAGGCTCTATATTATTACTGTGAAAGTATCAAAGTGCTCAGTCCACAGAGAAATGCACACAGCCTGTATTCAGAAACTGAGCCTTAAAACTAGCCGTCAGCTGACTTCTGGAAATTAGTGATGTCACAACAAAGCAGTCACCAAGTCCTGTCCACCTGGACCCACCATCCAGCCTTGTAGGATTTGGTTTCTCTGAGTGTTTACCTGAAATCTGCTATATTTTTATTGGATCACTCAGAAAACAGTCAGCCAATCAGAAGAGAGGCTCAGAGCCTCCTCTCTTCTGACTGGCTCACTGACCTGTTGTTACTAGAGCTCCAGAGAGAAGCCTGAGAGAGGCGATGTAAAACTACATTGAGATGGTTTTTGGTTCTCAAAACAACAAATACAGTATATCTTCTTATGGATCAACACTTCAAATAAAACACAGAAAAGGGAAGGAAATTTGGAGCTTTAAAGCAGCACTACTGTTCATGAGCTTTGGTTGGCCCGGATGAATTACGTTATGGTTTTAAAACGGTATGCCCATTTACACATCTAGCTGACTTAGAGCAACATTAGCATTCATTTGGAGTCACATTCCTGATGATCTGATGAATATATGTCCAGTATTCAACTTGTTTTAGCTCCGTTTTGGTCTCCACCAGCTCCTGAGAAAAATATCTAGTTCTACAGTAAATGCTTATCAAATATTTGAAAGTGCTGAGAATGAACCAAATCAGTAAAGTGTCAGGTCCATAAAACCAAAACAATGAACTGAAAGACACTAAAAAGCTCCACAGAGCTGAGAGGAATCAGGTGATAATAATCTGTGGGTCTCTCACTACAAATGACACATTTCACATTATACACAGTCATTTGAGACCCATTGTTAATACAAACACATTGATTAGAGCAGCTTGTCAGTGGCAGTACTTACACAGCAGCGTAGAGGCCTCCACAGCAGGAGTGGATAAATCCTCTCACTATAGTATGTAGAACAAATGACACCACCTGACAAAGAAAGACACAACAGACACACACAGATTCAAAGATCATCATGTGCGTCACTGTGTGTGTTTCTGTGTGTGTAAATTTACATGCACTGGTCTTCATACTGTATTCACACACATGGTAAGTTTGATCATTGGGATTCTGAGCAGTATTTTTCTAACCTGAAGGGGCAGGTTGTCAATCAAGGAAACTATTCCAAAGGTGACCAATAGGAGGTTGGTGAAGACGAAAGCCCTCATGGCATTGGTCACTTTCTGGACTTTTCTGTCTCCCTTTGGGGGATCTGATTGGCTGAAGGGGACAAATGTCAAATATCAAAGAGGCATATTGCTAAGGAAGAGGTGTGGATATTACAGATAAGTCCCAGATGCGGGAGTATGACAGTGTGCTGTTATCTAGTCCCTCCAGAAAGTTGCAATGTCTCAATAATTAATGCAAATTCAACTATCCCCGTGAATTCTGTGCGACCTTGGATTTTTGTCCAATCACCACAACTTTTCCGCAAATTTGATCAAACATCCTCAAAGTTTCCCTCGAGTGGCACCAATCACAGCAGTCCCTGATCAAAACCTTGATGTATGTCACCAAACTCACTTCCTTATTTCTGGTTTTGAAGCATGTTGTGAAGCTGCAGATATGTGTGACATGAACGTCTCACATTTACCAACAAACATCACTGTTAAAGACATGTTTTACATAAAAAGGTTAAATAGTTTTGTACTACTGTAACACTGTGGTGGAACCACAGGTGTAGAGCTGCCGGAACCACTGGAAGGACGCTCCACTACTTTTATTATCCAGATGAAATAAAATATCTACAGTCACATGATCCGGTTGATATTTATCTACATTTTAAGAGCTTGAAGATCCAATCATCACTAAAGAGTCTATTATGTAAAGATCTGACAAAAACTAATGATCAAAGTTCTCATACTTACATTTAAGATGTATTGATTTATTTCCAAACATCAATCACGCATCAAGTAACATTCAAGAAAACATTCCACCTTAAAAGATGGCAGTAGCTGCCAGTAGCCTCTGAGCTGCTCAGTGAATTAAATAGTTAATTAGTAAAGATAAAAAGACAGAAAACAGCCTTTCATTTATCATTCACTCTGATCTAACTGTTTGATAGGCAGAAATCGTGGGGCGGGGTATAAAATTACTATACACATGTAAAAAGTTCTACGTTAAAAATTCATAAATTCATGAGGTTTTTATAAAGATCAGCTCTACCTGTGATTAAGGCAGAGCAGAGGAGAGGAATCGCTTGTTTCTAAAAGATGTAAAATCATCTAAAAACATTGCAACATGCATCACAACAAAATCAGGTATTTTAGTCGCAACAATCCCAAAAAAAGTATGTGAAATCCTGGAGGGACTGGTTATCATGAAGACTGGACTGACTCTCTATATATCGTCAGCAACCAATAACTCTTTCACTTAAGTTTCTAGATCCTATGTGTTGAAACCTTCCAAACCCACTACAGTGAGTGTCAGGCTGTCTGCTGTACAACAACGTGTGAATGTAGCAACACATTACCCAAACCTAAAGAGAGGCTAATGAACCCCTTAATACCTTTTCTCTATTTGTGTGTTTGTGTTTTCCTCTTCACACTCCTTCATTCTCCAGTCCATGATGTAGCCAATCAAAGGACAAGTCAATAGACAAAGCAGCTGCATTGTACCAAAGATAGATGAGTAGAAACCAACTGGGGAGGACATGCAGAGACAGAGTGAAGTCAATAGAAATGAATGGAGAGTGAGAGACGGACAGATGTCAGGTAGATAGATGCCAGGGCCGTAGCCATAACTCATGAGTTGAGTCCCAGTGGGTAGTATTCACAAAGAGCCCACCCACTGAGCGTCTTGACTCTTACCTTGTTCCTCCACCTCCATTTTCATCTCTTCTGAGGCTGGAGGAGAGAAAAGCTGCAGGTCAGGGATTCCCACAGATGGGTTAACACAAATTCCAATGAAATGTTTGAATGTAATTCACAACATTAATGGTCAGTTCAGTCACTTTTGACCCAGCTTTTTTTCACAGTGTTGATATCCAGGGCCTGTATTCACAAAGCATTTTATGTTACCACTAAGAGTTCTCCTAAGTCAGAGAGGTTTTTAACTAAAAGTTTAGTTTTCACCTCCTCGTCTTGTGATGGTGCAATAATTTTGACATGCGTTCCATCTATAGCACCGACCACAGCGGGTAGACTGACCGTGAAGCTTCTTTATTTCTCTGTAGTTGTTGAACATCTAATAGAAATTGTATGAATTGTGTTATGATGTCGGGTCAAAGCGCATTTATTGTTCGGTGAATAGATCAGCTTTTCTCTGTTGTCAAGTAGCGCAGCGTCGCCAAACACTTAATTTCTGCACATCCTTCACAAACTCCACAACGATCATTATTCCCTCATGATTGAATCATATCTTTTAATTAATTCAGCATCATGTTAGGTTTCCAGAACACTGTGAAGTTTCTGAGTGATTTGGCCTTAGTAAGTTAGGAGTCCTCTCCACTACTTCTAACTTCTCTGACTTCGGAGCTACTTTTAGCACTAAGTGGCTTTGTGAATTACTCTTAGTCAAAAAAATGAGGAGTCATAAAGTTAGGGCTGACACCCCATTGTTTTTGGAAGTTTCTCCTAAATCGGAAAGTTAGGAGCTACTTTTAGCCTTAAGATGCTTCGTGAATACAAGCCCAGAGCTCTTGTCACAGCTTTAGAACTTAAAAGCCTTAAAAAAGAAGTTGTACAAGTTATCATTCTTACGGTGGGCCTTGCCGTGGGTGACCAGAAACTCCAGCATCTTGTTCATGGCACCCATGAAAAAGATCAGCCTCAGCTGGGTCATTGCCATGGTGATGAGACTCCACAGAAAGATGGGAGAGCACACAGAATGACAGAGCGGCACTGAGCCTGAACAGGGAGAGAGAGAAAGAGCTTGTGTGTGAAAGTCATAGACTGTACATAAAAATGGTCCAATGGAAGAGCAGTTTTGAAGCTCACAGTGAGCTGCTCCACTGTCACCATCTTGGGGGTTTCTGACTCCGCCCCTAATTCCTAGCTATTTCAAAAATGGACAAAGAGATGGGGCGTGTGTGACTCCAGGCTAACTGCAGTGTCATAGAGTGCTAAATGCTTCACAGGCTTTTCCACCCTGATAAATAGAAAAAACAGGATAAAAACCTACATTTGTTGTTTCATACAAATATATAAACATAAATACAACACAGATGTAATGTTAATCTTACTCTGGCCAGTGCTTTGGGAATCTGTCTGCTCGGGGTTTGACTTCTTAGCCCCCATTGTGTCTTCCATTGTGGTCACATGATTGATGTACCTGTCTCCAGTCATCTTGTCCTCTGTCACAACTCCACTCAGCTTCACCTTTTTACTACCGAGAAAAGAGAAGGAGATTTCTTTAGAATGACATCTAAAGTAACCCCAGAACTTGAACCTGATGGTGACAGTGGGCAAGGACAGAATTATCCGCTGGGTGTGTTGTGTTGTGTTATATTTATGATTAATGAACAAAAGTTTCAAAAGTCATGGTGCTTCCAACATGGAAAAGGGATTCTTTAGTAAACTGTGATCTGCTCTTTTTCCCTGGAATCTGGCATCTTTACACGGGTCCAATCCAGTTAGTGACACAACTGTGACAAACAGTCGTTTTAAGAGCCATAAGGCTAGTGTACAATATGTGTCTGTATGTGCCACTGACATACAATATAAGAACTTGTATGTCAGTCATTCTGTACGATATACGATATACGATAGAAATGGATTTCAGTTGTTGTGTGTTGGTCACATAATGAGCTCAGTCTAATATAGCTACAGTCACTATGTGTAGAATATTAATGTGATTATGGCATCTTTCAGATCACTCTGACTCCCTAAGTCAGATCTGTGTGGGGAGGGGGTAAAGAGGGTCTTTTTTGAATGTCTGTCGCTGACTGACTGACTGATGAAGTTGCACCATTGGTCAGCAAGTGTTGGCGTTTCCCCATTGGCCGTTGCTCTTCCAAAATAAATTGGTGCAGTTTCTATTTTGTCATCAGTGTCACTGTTTGTTGCTACAGTTCACTGACTTTTCAGACCCTTTAATGACTTTTTTTCCAAACAGCACCTAGCGACAAATCTACTGACTTTTCAGACAAACCTCAGCTACTTCTCGGAGAAGAGTGTCTCCAGTGCTGCTCCACAAGTGCAAGGTCAGGCTTTCCTTCCACCTCTCTATTCTGCTCATTCAATTAACTTCCCAACAGCTGATGTGAATGATCTTCTACCTCTCTCTCTGAGTGATCATTACACAGTAAATCCAGCTGAAATCACAGCTCAGTCTTTGATGTGTTTTATGATGTCGTCAGACAATGTCGTGGTTATAAAATCAGGATTTCAGTAGCAGCTTGGAGGTGACTGCGGATTAACATATAGTCTTAATGGACCACGTATCAGACAGTGTTTCAAACTTGTTCAGTTGTCATGACAACAGAAAAACATGTCAATGAGAACAGCATTATTGTGAATTCAGCTGCATTAAAATATTGTATATATGAGTGGAAAGGAGAAGAAAAGAGAACAGATAAAGAGCGGAAACCAGCTAACACTAGACTAAATGTAGATATGATGCAATGACATCATGAATAAGCTAATTAGTGTACTAACACCTTGCAACTCAGCTGTTTACAGCGGTTCCACAACAGTTTTCAATTACGTCCTCAATTTCACATATTGAACATACACGGTCCAGACCTGTACCAGGTTTGGACCTGGTCTTGTTGATACCAACACATAGTTACATTCATATTCACAATATACAACACAGTGGCTTTAAAGCTACACTGATAAATATTCTAATATCAACAAAGGATCTAATGTGATGTGTGTAACTGTCATCAACTCTGTTGTCTCACTCAGCTCTACAAGCATTTAGCTCTGGTGTATGTCCAGTGTACTGACATGTATCTGATGTCCTCAGGTGCAGGGAAGGACTCAGCAGGCCAGTTTAGGAAGCAGTTGAGGAAGACCATGCAGGCCATACCGGACCAAACCCACATGATGATGCGGAACGACACACCAAGGTCGTAAATCACCTGTAGTAGTAAGACAGGGAGGAAGAGGAGGGTTTGGATGGGAGGAAGTTTAGAACAGTTCAGGAGAGGGAAGAATGAGGGTGGAGACGAACAGAAGAAAAAAGTATTTAAAAAACCGTCAACATCTCAGTAACACCTTGACTGAACTTCAGATTTGGTACAAATGTCCATTTGGACTCAAGGATGAAGTGATTTGAGTTTTCTGGGCAAAGGTCAAAGGTCAAGTTCAGTGTGACCTCAAAAAACCTTTTAGCCATTACTCAAGACTTCACACAGCAATTATGACAAAATGTCACACAAATGGTTCATATTTAAATGAACTATTTGTTCACCATAAACAGGGATGTAACCTGGAACTAGTCTAAGTGGAGGAGGGATACAACCACAAGTGATTCTAATTTATCTTTATACAATTATATAAAACTTCTTTCACTCTGTCAACTGTTCACAGTCCTTCAGCTGCTTTTTTCACAGTGGATTAATCTTCCAGCTCTCAGCTATCACATGTTTTCTCCAGAAAACTATCTTTTGTAATTGAGTCACTGAACATTGTATCATGTAATAACAACAATCCTAAATAAGTATATTTTGTGATGATTGTGTTAGAGAGAAAGACAGAGAGAGAGCACCTTGACACCAGGGAAGGTGACGGCTGAAGAAGCGTAGGAGCCGATCATCAAGGAGAGGATGGTTGATCGAACATTCCCAAACATGTTGGGCAGCTGGAGAGGAGAAAGATTAAAGATTAATAAATTAACCATGGGATGTGAGTAAACGTGAAAAAACACTTACAGTAAAGGTATTCATCAGCTGTGTTTCAGTTCAATGATCTTCGAGTTCAACGTATATTTTTTGGACATTTTTATGAAATAACACAAAACAGACTAAAATAAATGTCATTAGAAAAATAATGTACATTACAGTGATTTAAATGCACTTTAAGAACTTAACCAGCAGGTGGTGCTGTGTGTACGTGTATACAAGCTTTTCAGCTGAGGGGTGTAAGAAGATGATTAACACACACACACACACACACACACACACACGCACACACAGCCCTCATGTAATTGTCAGCCAAATTTCTGTCATGACAACTTGGCGTGTGTGTGTGTGAACATTCTCTGGCCATGCAGATGGTTAAGGTTAGGAGTGTGTGTGTGTGTGTGTGTGTGTGTGTGTGTGTGTGTGTGTGTGTGTGTTCGTGTGTGTTGTGTGTGTGTGTGTGTGTGTGTGTGTGTGCGTGCGTGTGTGTGCGTGTGTGTGCGTGTGTGTGTGCGTGTGTGTGTGTGTGTCTGTGTATGTGTTTCTACAGACTCACTCTAACTATAGATGCAGCTGGAGCTCTGCCAGTCACACAGCTTACTGCACGTGGCTCTGTTCACGCTCAGTTTAAACTCACTGCTCCGACAAAGTCACCTACAGTATTTCCCAGTTCATAACTGTTCATAACTAGTATGAACTGGTGCCACAAACAGTTTTGTTGTTTTTTGTTTTTTTTTGTTTTTTGAAAATCAAATAATTTTTGAAATGTATTATATGATGCAGAATTTGACTTATTTTGCCTTTGTTTTGTTTTGTTTTCTTATTTAGTTATTCTTTAATATTTTGTCTATGTTGTCAAGCTTGATTGATTCTGTAATGTTATTGTTTAGTGTAACTTAGTGTGTTATGTTTGACCTGTGTTATATGTTTTGTCTTCTAGTTATTTATGTCATATTTTTGTCCAATTTAAAAAAGAAAACAGAATCATAAGTAGCTGTACAAGTAGAACTGCTGCCACATTATTGTAAAATAAAACAAAGAGAACACAAAAAAGCCCCAAGGTTATATTGTGTACACTGCTGTTTGTCACCTCTGACATGTTCTACATTCAGTGGATAAAAACTTTCCTGGTGTGGAACTGAGTCCATGTTCAGGCAAAATCACATTTACTGAAACTGTTTCTGTCAAACATTGCATCAGCAAAAAGAAAGAAAAACCTCTGGTCATCTGACCTTCTGTTGATCTGTTCAGTCTGTCTGTGGATCTGTTTCATTCAGCCAAGGTCAGAGTTCAAGACACAACAAATCTGATCTGTCTACGACTGATGGAGGCATTCTGATTAATTACATAGTTATTGCTCTGTTCTCTACTGTTTATGGTTATACTGACTTTCATGAGACATTGAAAGTAGTTTATTTGCTGTAATGGAGGCGAGGCTCAGTGTATTGAAAGCGCTTCTCCTCTTCCCTGCAGTTCCCGAGCAGCCGGGAAACCAGTGGTGGAAATATCATCAGTCAGTCAGTCAGTCAGTCAGTCAGTCAGTCAGTCAGTCAGTCAGGGACTTTCCAGCGTAAAGGGCTGGCCCCACTGTTGCGGTCCAGCCAAACAGTGCTCTGAGGTGGTATTATTTGGCCTTTGTATTGTTTGGGGTCAGATGTGGGCTGCTAACAATTGTGAGATTTTCAAGTGGGTCATGAGATGGAAAAGGTTTTGGAACCACAGAGTTCGCTGGTGTCTAATGTCACATGTACTGTAAGAGCACAACAAAAAAAAAATTAAGGTCTTAAAACTTGGTTTTGACAATAGACATGGCTACAATAATACAGAACAATTAGTTGATATTGTACTTTAGGGCAAATCTAATCACAATGTCAAATGTTCTTGGTTGCAGGTTCCAGTTGTTTGGTTTTTATTTTTTTTTTATTAATACATAATTATATTATTGTATTTTATGTTTCAGGTGTTTTTTTGAATAATATGGTATATGGCAGGAAATATCACAATATCTTGTTCTTTGCCATCCCTAAAGCGATAACTCGGATTATTTCATGTGTGGTTGTGTGATGCCCGGAACACGCTGCCTGCGTTGCATGTACGTGGCGGCTGCTGGTCACTGCTACAGTCAACCCTAACTATATTTATATATCTGTGAAATTCTAACCACTTTGTCTTGTCGTCAAACAGCCCTTTACTTTGGAACTACATTTTCTCAACTGCTGCACACCTCTAATAATACAGTGCGCTGTTGGTGCACTTTTGCATAGGAATACAGTAGTGCAACACTTGAGAAAATATAGTTCCAAAGGAAATGGCTGTTTGATGGCAGATAAAGCAGTGAAAATATTCAAAATAATGTGAACACTTCAACTGATATAAGCTTTCTTCTGTGGGCATTTTTTAAAAAGAGGCTAAAACACATTTTTTTGCAGATGACCCTGTCAACAGCGGCTCATCACTGAGCTCCCACTGCTTCTCTAAACTGAGAGCTGATCTTTATCTACTGCAGGTAAAACACTGACAATTGATCAGTACGTCTTTCCAACTCTCTCTCCACACTTTATCAGCTTCACAACAACAAAACTACCTGTCTCTAAGTCACATGCGTCGCTAAACTAACCCATCAGAAGCTAGAAGGACTTAGACTGAGGTAATTACAATGAAAACTATATAGAGATGGATTCAGGAGGTTTCCATAACTCTTTTAAAAAAGATGCAGAAGTAAATATTTGATCTTGTAAATATGTAAATAACAACTGTGCAAACATACTTATGTAAATAGTAACTTTGTGTGCATAAATGTGTAAATAATTAACTGTATAAACACTGTTGATATACTGTATATTTTAGTAAATAAACAAGTATCATCTAAACCTTACAGTAGCAGTAGATGTAGAATTTATATTGTACCAAATACAAATATTACCAGTGTGTTTGTCTTTCAGGTTTAACTAACATCAAAACTCTCTGCTCTGACTCTCTCTCTCTCCTCCATGTTTCCATGTTGTTAGTTTTGCCTCCACCTCTGTTTTTCCATTCTTATCTGCCCTCCCCTCTGTTCCATCTCTTTCCATTAACTGTTCCATCTATTCTTGACTTCACCTCTGAAAGCCTGCCTCGTATCCTTCTGTCTGTCTACTGTCTACTGCTCCTGTAGTTTGAGGTACGACAATCTGGTCAACAGATGTTATCATACTAAACTAAGACGGTCAAGACAGCATTGTCACAGTGAGCAGGATCTCAGTACACTTGTCTTGTTAAAGGTTTAATAAGGACATTACTGAGCTCTGATCAGAGATTTAAACCTTTAAAGTCTGTTGTATGTAGGAAGATTACAGAACACTGGCAGTTCTGGTCAGTTCATTATAGTACAAACTGCCTTATCAAAGTTGACACAGCACAAAAATTATTGGCAGCTAGTTAAGTTAGCTGGGAATGTACAATGTTTACGTCAGGTAGTTTTATCAACAAGGTAAAACACACACACACACACACACACACGCACACACACACACACACCAGGAATGGCCAAAATGACAATGTCAAGTCCAGGACACAGTCTACGTCAGGAAGTGGGAGGAGGAGGAGAGAGAGAGATGGGGTTGGCAGGGGGACAGGGCTGTGGGAGGGAGTGTTGGCCGCCCAGGTTTTGTATTGGCTGAGAGGCCACAGCAGAATTTAGAACAAGTGGAACAGCATGTGCTGCTTTCCAAAATACACACAGACTCACACAGGAACATGTGCTTATTATCACAGGTACACAACTCACAAAGCAGACACAACCAGACACACAATGTCAACACAAATATACAACTTGTACTGATAGTCAGGTGACTAATAAATTAAACAACAAAAAGTTTGTGAGTCAAGTGTTGTTCCACCTCATGTCTCCAGAACAACTTTACTGCTCCAAATCCACTGAGGATGAACTCCATTCTTCATAGAGCATTTCGTCCTTTAATGCAGTCAGAGCGTCAGTGAAAGCATGATTTTCAAACCTCTCTGATGAAAATCCAGTGTTTCACCTTGTTAACATCCATATGATGTTTTTATATAATACAAGACAAATGATGAGTGAAATAACCATCAACACCATGACTGCGTGTTTCCACCTTGAACTGCAGTGAACCAATGACAGATCCAAAAACAGATTCAGACAGCCAGGGTTTCATACCTCACAAACCTAAGAAACCAATCCTGTCAACTGGTGGGGTTGGGGGGTGGGGCTAAATAAACCTGAAACCTTATCAGTACAGAGAGAGAGAGTTAGCTTTAGCACAACCGCTAACACTGTGTCAGCCACTGCCAGTTACAAGCTATCAAACAACATAAACAAATACAAGATGCTAACTGTGCTAACCGTTCTGATACGTCTGCTAGTCTCTGGTTCTGGTCTCAACAGACTCTGTTAGTCAGGATCTGGATTTGTGCTGAGGCAGCAGTTGGTCGGGTCAGAGTCTGAATCCATGGACCAACCTGCCTCGTGTCAACAGGCTGGTGGTGGTGGTGTGATGGAGTGGGGAACGTGTTCTTCTTAATACCAACCAATCATGGTCTGAAAGTCTCAGTCTATCTGAGTATTGTTGCTGACCATGTTCATCCTTCATGGCCACAGTTCACCATCTTCTAATGGCTCCTTCCAGCAGGATCATGCTCCATGTCACAAACTGGTTTCATCAACATGACAGTGAGTTCACTGAACTTCAGTGACCCCCCCAGTCTCCAGACCTGAATCCAGTAGAACACCTCTGGGATGTGGTAGAACAGGAGATTGGCAGCATGTATGTGCACTGAACAAATCTGCAGAAATGTCAACATGGAGCAGAGTCTCAAAGGAAAGTTCCAACATCTGGTGGATCCATAAGAAACTGAGGAACGACCCAGAGTTAATGTGTTGTTCCTGTTGTTCCTTGGTGAGTGTGTGGGATGTTGGTTCATAGAGATAAACCGGACTTGATGTGTAAGTGATGATATAAAATAAGGTGTCCATATAGAAAATAACAGATGAGGTGGAGGTGAAGAAAGGTGTTTTTCAGACAGCTATTATCTGGTAACTCAGCATTAAGCATTTTTATAAAGAAGCAAGTTGAGGCAGTTCAGACATCTGATACGATCTCCTGAATGTGGAAGTTGTCAAGGCATGAGGAGAGATCCTGGGGCAGACCCAGAGCATGATGGGAGGATTATATTGCCTGGGAACACCTCAGGGTAAAACAACATGTTGTACTGTACTCAGCTTATTGCTACTGACACAGGTAGCTATTGTATATGTATCTGTTTGTTATGTGAGGATATTTTTGACCCTTCTCAGTTTGTAAATGTGTGTACATATGTGTGTACGTGTGTGTTCATGTGCGTGTGTGGGAATCGTACTGTGAGTGAGGTGAAGGTCAGGCAGATTCCTCCAAAGCCATTGAAGGAGACAGCGAGGAAGATGAGGAATGACAACACTGATGGAACAAATGAAGAATACCATGAGCTATAATGCAACTTTAAAGGTAAATTTTTTTTTTGTCTTTGGTTTTGTACCTTTGTTGATGGACAAAGGTACAGAAATTTCTGATTGCATGGAAGTCTTTGATAATTAGGGTGGGTCAATGTTTACTCAGGTTAATAGGCTGCAGAATGTGATTAATTTTAATTAACATCTCTTCCAAGCAGAGGCTGCGTCAGACTTCCTCGTTGTTCATCATTTTGATGAATAGAATGGTAAAAATTCCTTCATAATCTCTTATTACCCGTCATTTTAATTTAAATTTTTAATGATAACAAGACATATCCTATTTAATAGCATTCAATTTTCAAAAGCAACTGAGATCATGGAGAGAAAAGATGAACTGAGATACTTTTCATGTCAAGATAAAGCAGCTTAATGAATTTTTCCTCGCAGTGACAGTGGAGGGAACAAAAACACTACAACTATTGACAAGAAATGAAATGAAACTCAATTGACTTGTTGCAGCCTGAACTCTACCTTCCTCCATGGATTTAAACCTGACGCAAGCATCAAGGCAGACTGCTGCAAAGGCAGTTGGCTGAAGTGGCGCTTGTAATTCCAGCTTCCAAAACCTAATGTCAGAGTTTTGAAGTTGGGGAACATTTCTCTCAGGGAAGTCGACAAGACGGACAAGCACCCGGATAGTAAGATGTGTTGCTGCGAGGGGAATTGAGTGACCTCCACAATGTAGTCTGTGTGCACAATGGAAAAGGTCTGTGCGTCTGCCAGCCACAGAACCTGCGATCTAATTCTGTTCTCATCTGTCAAAATGACGGACAGCTTCCAGGTTTTTCCATCACTGTTAAAAAACTTCAGTCAGTGACGGAAAATATTCAGTTAACGCAATCCCTGCTTCCAGATTATTTTTGGTTAAATTGGATATATGCTTATAGCCTGGTATATAGTTTCATCATTCGATTCCTCATCCATTGTAGTCTGTTAAAAAGATGTTGCAGCATCCTCAGATCTCATAGTGAAGTTGGTGAGTAAAATGTTTCTGTAACTGATATGAATGATGGCAAAACTACAAAAATAAGACCCAAACAATTGGACTGTTGTATTAATGTGGTTGGTCAAAACAAGCATATGATGATTGAAGGTGTGATGTGTTGATGTGTCGTCTCACCTTCAGGCTTGTATGCAGCAGCAGCTATCATTGCACAGGAGGCTGCAAAACATGAGCTGAAACACATACAGACACAGGACGTCTGAACACGAACACACAAACTGTCACATACAGAATGGAGGCAAGTTATTCTGTCGTACCTGCCAACAAGCCTCAGTGGGCGTGGTCCATATCTGTCCATCAAGATCCCCAGGGGTAAAGTGGCTGCACTCAGGAGGAACGAGCCAATGGTGAAGCCAAGATTCAATATCTCTTCCTGCTCCACACAGCTCGGCCACGCCCCACTCTCCAAGGAAGTCACATTGGTGTTGACAGTCCCATTGTCTGGAGAGGGTCATAGACAGAATCAGTCAGGAGAGGGTGCTCAGGCTGCAAACACACATCCTCACTACACACCACAACATCTGATCCAGAATGAACACAAGACACCAGTGCTACTAACAGGAAGGCCCCTGATCTCTCAGCCAGAGGTCAGAGGTCAGAGGTCAGAGGGGAAAGTTTGGGCATTTGAATTGTTTCAGGTCAATTTTGCCTTTTTATATGTGCTGCAAATACAAATACAAACACAAGCAAATTCACAAACATGCTGCAGCTTCAGAAACATCTTCATCACTTTGAAAACACATGAGCTGCAAATACTCACAGCACAACACAAAGTGTTTCCAGTGGACACTAAAAAGTGATGGACGTGCTGAGACACACTTGTTGTTTGATGCTTTTAACTTCAAAAGTCACAAAGCATCCCAGCCAGGTTCAGAGAGAGAGAGCAAGAGGGGATGATATGCAGTAGAGGGCCATGGGTTGGACTCAAACCTGCGCCGCTGCAGTTAGGACTAACACCTTCATGGTACAACCTCTACCACGTGAGCTCCCCCGCCTCTCCTGTTGTGCTGTGAGTATTTGCAGCTGTTGTCAAAGTGTTGAAGATGTTTCTGAAGTTGTTTGTGTTTTGTCTGTTTGCATGTGTTTTGTTAAGTTGCAGTGTGGTGAACTCCTCGGGTCGGGCCACCATACTTGCAGATCATAAACCAATTGTTTGCAACGTCACCTTATCTGGTTCTCAGTTTGGTGCCAAAACATCTGGCTACTACTCTCACCATATACATTGTCTCAATGCACTTCACAACCGCCATCTCCTCTGCTGAGCCTCCTCTGAGCCCAGATAAATTCATCTCCCTCTTCCACATGATTTGCAGCATCATCTGCCTGAACCTTCATCTTGTTAAAAGTACAGTGTATAGTATAGTGGAGTAATGGCGTCCTGAGCAGAGAAGAAGCCACACCCCCTTTGTGTGTGATGTCATCTGAGTTTCTCTGCTTTTTGTTTTGGTAGCCGGTCCGGGAGCGTGTGCATGTTAGTGCATGTAAGTCCCTCCTGTTAAACCGTTGGCCTTCCCCCCATCTACACACCCACAGGCTCCGTCCACAGTTGTGATGTCACAGTGCAGTACACAGCATTCAGGTAAAAGCGACCTTCCAGAATTTCCTCCAATGAAGAAGAAACCATGTTTCTGTCTAAAAAGGCCTCAGACAAAGAAAGAGATCAGTCCAGAGCACAGGTGGACTGGACTGAGGACTACTGGCTCAGATCCTGGTCTGTCTGTGGACCATCAAAACATCAAAAATTTTTTACAGGCTTCATTAGTGTTCTCACCGGTCTTGTCTGTGTACCTCTCATTTTTTCGGCCAGTCCTAGTGGATGAGTCCAATGTTGAATTTCTTTCCCAGTCCAACCATGGAGCTGAGACTGGTCTGGTTTACTGAGAGGAGAACCCTATGAGCTGCTAAAGGCTCCAGCTGGACTCAGAAATGTTTTTTCTACTCCTCCATGTGTCAGTAACTTGATGGTTCATAATGTGACAGTCTGTTTTCATTAGGGATGGCTACAGTAGCATGCTAACATTGACTAACTTGTTGTTACCCATATTATACATGTGTTCTGCAAATGTTGCTATCGCTAGCTTGCTAACTGTCAGCATTGCTGTGGAGCATATCACAGCTATAATGGTTATATGGTTAGATTGTTTCTGTTTGCTCTCATGTATACAGTAACTTTATTTGTCTTACTTGTTGTGTGTTTATTGACAGTTTCACTGAGCTTCATAACACTTCCCTGACTGAGAACATGACAGGAGGGGAGGAGGGGAGGTTTGGCTGACCGGAGGCCAGACGTCAGGCTCATGAAGCCTTTGTTTTGGGCGGAGATGTTGGTGGTCTAGTGCGACAACTAGTGGCAGTGATAAAATTATGAAAAGATAGTAGTGTGTCACAGAGGAAGGAGATGGGTTTGTCACTTCCATTATTTCTAAGGCACTTGTACAGCCATGACAGTCTGGCCATTGGAAATTCATATGTGTGATTAGTTTCTTATTTGCAGAAACCTAAAAAAATGACTCCTGTGGAATTTCAAAATAAAAAAATATATTTTGGTGGAACCGCAGCAGCTTTGGACTGAGGCAAGTGTCTGCACCAGGGACAAGCAGGAGAAAAGGGCTGGTCTTACCAACACAAACATGGGAATAGAAGCCTTCATTCTTCAGCATGATGAGTAGTGAGCCCCAGCCCAACAGAACAGCAGAGAAGAGCAGGTTCTCTATGATGGCTGTGATGGCCATCCACCACCTCCTGCTGTACGCCTGGGCCAAGCTGGGAGCCATGGTAGCTGGAGACACACAGGAACAGGAGGAACATTAGTCCACCAAGCATCGGGGAGCCACTTCACACCACTTGATTTTACCGCATGTGCCTTTGTCTCAGATTAGGATTTTATTCACACAACTTTCTCTGTTCTCTTGCACAAAGGTCAAACTACAATTCAGTCCCAGCAAAGTGCCCCCAAGCAAGGCACTTAAATCCTCAAACACTCCTTCCAAGTGGTCCAGGGAGAACAGAGCTACAGCATTATTTGTCTGGCTAATCTTAACATCCTTCAATCTTCATGATGGAAAGCCTTTGGAGGTTTTGGGCAGTTGTGGCACTATACAGTTGTGTTTTCATGCAGGTTATGCAACACACATTCCTGCAGATAGAACGATATTATCATAACCACTAGAAGTGATGACCAGGGCTATGAAATTAAGTTAATAATAATAATAATAGGTTGTGTCCGAAACCACTCATTCACTTATTCCCTCCTCCCTCCTCACTATCCAGGAAGTTCTCTGTAGAGGACTACACAGTGAGCTCATCCGTAAATGAAAAGACACTTTCTCACTAAATATTCAGACAGCACTACACAGTCCCTCCAGAAAGTCACAATGTCTCGATCGCATAATTGATGCAAATTCAACCAATCCCCGTGAATTCTACACAACCTTGCATTTTTGTTGAATCACCACAACGTTTCTGCAAATTTGACCAATCATCATAGTTTCCCTCAAGTTGAACCAATCACAGCAGTCCCTGATCAAAACCTTGATGTTCTTCACCAAATTCACTTCCTTATTTCTGGTTTTGAAACATGTTGTGAAGCTGCAGATATGTGTGACATGAACGTCTCACATTTACCAACAAACATCACTGTTAAAGACCATGTGAAGACATTCAACCATGTTTTACATGAAAGGGTTAAATAGTTTTGTACTACTGTAACACTGTGGTGGAACCACAGGTGTAGAGCTGCCGGAGCCACCGGAACAATGCTCCACTACTTTTATTATCCAGATGGAATAAAATATCTACAGTCACATGATCCGGTTGATATTTATCTACATTTTAAGAGCTTGAAGATCCAATCATCACTAAAGACTCTGTTATGTAAAGAGACAAAAACTAATGGTCAAAGTTCTCATACTGATTTCCAAATGTCAACCACGCAAACATTCAAGAAAACATTCCTCCTTAAAAGATGGCAGTAGCTGCCAGTAGCCTCTGAGCTGCTCAGTGAATTAAATGGTTAATTAAAGATGAAAAGACAATCATCATTCACTCTGATCAAACTGTTTCATAAGGTGGGGGGGCTCTAGGTTATAAATTGATGAATTGATTCTAAAGATCAGCTCTACCTGTGATTAAGACAGAGCAGAGGAGCAGAATCTCTTGTCCTTTTCCTTTTAAAATCTGGTATTTTACCCGCAACAATCCCCAAAAAAAGCCTGTGAGATCCTGGAGGGACTGACTACAAAATGGCAAACTCCCTAAGTAGTGGCCTATAGAAGCAGTAGTGAGTGATTTCAGACTAGTTACTGCCTCTGGAAACCTGGAAATTGTGTTTGCATGTCAAAACCCACTGTGATGAGAAAAAGGAAAAAGGAAACTGGGATTTACCTCAACAATTGATCATGTCTATCACCCATGTCTGAAGGTTTTAAACTGTTCCACTGATGGAGGCACTAAAGCACCAAAAAAAACAGCGATGTGACAGGAAAGGCAGAAAAGAAGAAGAACAATGGCAGGAGTGTGACCAAAGACATATATATACATTGACGCCACATTGGTCGCTTCAGCCCTTTGATGTGATATGTCAACGTCGACAAGAATGGTCTGGAAACATTTACAAGTAAACAGAGGAACTGTGTGTTTTTTTATTTCGCCCATGTAAGTGATTCAGTCCATGTAAACCGAACGACACGCACACCTCTTTATAAAAAACAGCCTAAATTATAAGTTTATATTATAATTATTATTATAATATAATATTATTAAGTCTAAGTCTTACTCCACATAGATCATAAACCCTTGTATATAAAAACAACTCACTGAAATCGGTTGAGAAATATAAACCTTGTATTTATCAAGAAAAACTGCAGCTCCTCCGTTTACTTGTGTTTGTCTCGGTCCAATATGGTGGGGACGTTGACGTACGATCCAGTGGCCAATGTGGCATCTACCTTACTTTATATTGCATTATCAATATACTATATAAAGTGATCTAGTAAATATTGTCGAAGCTCATTAGTCAAACTGTAAATAGATAAAATAACCAAATAGAAATGATGGAAAATCCTGTAAAACCAAAACTGAGTATTTTATGAATGAAGAAAAGCTTTCGCCACAATATTAGGCAAGGATACACACAACACTGTAGGTGTCCTGTCACCATGAAACACCCTCACTGCTGTGTCAAACTCTGTGGTAAAATAGGCGGAACTATGCTGCAAGTGACGTCAGTGAGCTGACATGAAACCTGAGAGGAAGCGAGGGGATGGGCAAATGAGACTGGAGATGGAGAAGTTTGACCCTACTTGACCTTTAACTGTAGCTGTATGTGTGTGTGTTTGTGTGTGTGTGTGTGTAACCTGTATAAGACATTTGGAGTCCTGCTGACACAGGAAATGGCAGAGCTCTCTCTCTCTCTCTATCACTGTAAAACTTCAGTTAAAACACTTCCTGTAGTTCCTTCACAATAAAAGATAGGTTAGAGTATAATTAGCTGTCACAATACAAAGCATGAAATAACACAGAAATCTACACATGCATGATTGCAGTTTGATTTCCTGCAGTGGTTCAGAAAATCAAACAGACTCGGTGAGTCTAACCATTAAAACACTGAATAAAGCAGTTTCATTTTAAAAATCATAGATTCACTGACGCTCCTCAGTGACAGAGGACAGGACGTCTTCAGCAGCTGGGAGCTGAGCTGTCTAACATTTCCTGAGCTTGTTTCTCTGATAACTTCAGATCCAGACGTCCGACGACTAAAAACCTTCATCTGGTTCAGATATAGAACTGAAAACCACCAAGGTGTAAAAAGCGAATCTTAAAAAAGTGACTAAAAACTGGATAAAAACATATTGTCATTGACAGGTGACCAATGAAATGTTACCATGATTAAAATCACACATTTCTCTGGTTTGACAATTGATGGATACATTTGGGGAAATGTAACAACACAACTCAACAACATATAGAATATAGCTCTAGTTGTTTTTAGACATTTTAATGTAGAAAAGTTACAAAAGTTACAGATCATAACATATATATATTTATAATTCAACTTTAGCTGTGAATTACTTTTCATTACTTTGACACAAAATGCACAAAAAATAACTACCACATTTTAAACTTACTCAACACATCTCAGCCACCACCAAACCTCTGTGTATTGATACACTATTTTCAAGACTGTAAAGTTAATAATTCAAAGTTACTGTGAATGAGACTGTGATTTGAGGCAGAAATAATAGAGCTGACACTGAGGCCTGTATGACAGATTTGTTCCAGGTAAGGAGAGGGACCAACTGAGGCTGAATCCAGGACGTTCTCCTCCAGACTGATTTACAGCACAACCCATGATGGAGTCACGTCTTTCTCCACCCGACTCTTCATCCCTCAGTCCTGCAGATCAACTCTTCTCCTCATGGGGGTGGACATTTTATGATCAGACATCCCTGTTGGACACAGTGATGCTGGATGTCTGGACACATCTGCTGAGGATTGCTAGGGATGGATTAGGCAGCATCAGGTGTTTTTTCTTCTACAGCCTTACTTGTTCAGCTGTTGTTGTTTTTCACTAATGTAAGTGAACTTTAGATGGATATTATTTAGAAGTGTGCAAAAAAAATAAAAAATAAAAAAAGATTCACATTAGAATTGCGATTTTATCTCTTCAGATTCAAAATTGATTAATTCCAAAAAAATTGATTCAAGTCTTGTAACAGTGCTGGTTTACATTTTTTCCTGACATGAGTTCAGCTTGCCAGTGCTAGAGATGGTGCCATGTCAGTTTCAGCCCAGATACTCCTCTTTGGTGTGAGCAAGAAGAAAATGCTGTGAGAGCAAGCGGCATCTTCCGAGACTGAAAAATGAAGCCAACACTGAAGAACCACAAACTGTAGTTCCCCTTATGACCACTAGAGTCTGGCTCCAACAATGAGTCAATCCCCATAGACTCCCATGTTAAAATGTCCAACTTTACAGCAGAAATAAACATGTTTACAGCCTGGTACAAAAACTGTTTTAGTGAAAGTTCTGCATAATTGAGGTAATGGTCTCTTTGAGTGACAGTGCTGGGAGTTAGGGGGCGGAGTAAGACACTGCCAAAATGGTGACAATGAAGCAGCTCACTCTGAACTTTATGAGAGTGAGCAAAGGAAAACTTAAAGGAAGAAGTCACTCAACCTGCCTCATCTTCAGTGAAGGTGTTCGGACAGATTTCAGATTTCATAACCTCCAGGGGAAGAAGCAGCTCGATTTTATCTGCAGCTTTATCTACATTTTAAGAGCTTGAAGATCCGATCATCACTTAAGAGTCTGTCATGTAGAGAACTGATAAAAACTAATGGTCAAAGTTGTCATGTTGACATTAAAGGTGTATTGATTGATTTCCAAACAATCATTGGCCACCCACAGCCCCAGGGAAAGGGAGGAGGGGGATGGTCATCGAGCAGCTTGTCAGAGACAGGTGGCAACTACGCCGGAACTGGCGGAAAGCTACGCCTGAAGAGAAAGCTGGCCTTAAGGAGCTGTGGGACGAGCTCAGACAAAAGCTCGCCAGGCTGCGTAGAGTGGAGAGAATTAGAAGGAGGAGGAAGAAGAAAGAGAAGGAGAGAACCAGCTTCTTTAGAGATCCATTCAAGTATGCACGGCAGTTGCTAGACGAGAAGCGGAGTGGAAAGCTAAACACTTCCAAAGAGGAGCTGGAGAGTTACATGAAGAGCCAGTACAGCAACAACAGGCGAGCCAGTCCACTCGGCTCCCCAGGACATGTCCCACACCCAAACT